AAAAAAAAACCCAAGGAGAATATATAAGAATAGTTCAAAAAAAATATTGAGTTCTTTGAATATATATAGAGTTAAAAAAATATATATACTGTATATATATAAAAAGCTCACAAATTTTAAGATATATTCAAATAATTTCTATAATAAAGAGGCAGATGTCTTAGTAAAAAAGTTTTAAAACTTTTAACAATTGAATAAAAAGATTTTATCTTATATAAGAATATTATAAAATCAAGTGATAAGAGAAAACCCTAAATAATACAATTAAGTGATTCATCAAAAATATTAATAATAAATAATATCTATCAGTGAATGCAATAAAATAAAATAAAAAAAAATAAAGTTACTGAATTTCAGAATATCAGATTTATATATGAGACTTAGTATAAAAAAAATCAAAGATGAATACACATAAAATATATTCTTCAAATAATCCTCCAAAAAAACTTTCTTATTAAACTGATGAATAATAAGTTACCTATCTTTAGTAAATTAACTATAAAAAATTTGGACATATGGGTTAATAGTGCAGTGGTTAGCACTCCATAGGTTAGATTACAAGATCTGGTTTCAATTCTATCTCAATACAAAACTGATACGAGGAATTAAATCTGTCTATTGGCATAACTGTAAACTAATGGATGTTTCTAATATAGCATCTGGTTTATATTTAGATTGTGATCAGGTTATAATCTAAATCTAATAGGATTATTACTGACACAATCACATTACTAGAAATTGTAGCAAGAAAAGTAGATCCCAAACTGGTAACATGTCTCTCAGGATCAAAACAAGAAAACAACTCATCCGGGGACACAAATGGCTTAATACAAAAACTCGTGCTCAAGAAAAAGGACTCTTCCATAATAAGCTAGTCCTAGTCCTTATGCATGTGGCTGTGCCATCTTTTATAGACTTGACTATTGGGAGGTTTTGGTGAAAGGAGAAATTCACGGACCACTACAAAGGATCAAAAACTGGGATCCAGGATACTGAATTTGACAGCCTGATAATTAGAATGCTCTTAATAAAAAATTGTTTTAGAAATAATTAAGACAGAATTATGCAGGCTTCTAGTTTGAGGTTTGACTGGTAATAGTGATATATAGCATTAGTTAAATATATATATAGCTATCCATATACTGTAGATATGATTTACTATAACTTATATGTAAAACTACTCATTTGTAATAATATAACAGTTTCGATTTAATAAAATTACAAATTAAGCCTGTAGACCCAACCGAGCAATTATTAATACCTTCAACTTTATTAAGCTACAGCAGGACTTACTCATAACACTACACAAAATAAAGGCACACACTGGTATCCTTCTCAATGAAGAGACAATAGGCTCACCAGAATCGATCCCATCTTATAGAATATAAAATCCAATCAGAAGATTATAAACATAAAAAGACAATACTAGGGCTTCTTACTAATAGAGATAATTTGGGACAAAACAACAATAGACATCTCAGGGAATCACCTAGTAAAGCAAGTCAACAAGGTCATTAGACTTACCAAGTGGAAACTGCTCAACAGAACATGAAACAACTTTACAGTTGAGGACTTCAGAGACATATACTGGAAGCACACGTTTGATAACATACACCCATCCAGAATGAATATATATAATATATCAAAACATGACTATTATATGCGAAAGCTCAGATTCAATCTCTGGTATAAAGAACTCCCAACCCAGCACAAGCTATATAACAGATTTCCTTCAGTTGATAAAGACAATAAATGCAACAAATATGAAACAATCGAAGATACAATATACCCATTTTTATGTAGCAACAACACAAACACACTAAAGGAAAACTTTTACAGAATCCTTATCAAAAATGTTTTTCTACAAATCAAGAAGAAATATAAGAGGAGTTTCAAGGATATTATACATAGACGACTCCATTTGGACAATCCAAGGAAGCTTAGACTCCTCATAAAAAGGGCAATCCTGAAGGAGATATCAGAAATACTCTCAAAAATTCTGATGCATGGGAAGAACAAATCAAAGATTATTGCAAACATAATGAAAGAATGAACCAAAAGCACTTTAACATGGAACAAACAGGTGAAAAGTAAAACAGGGAAGCATAAAAGCAAGCAGATCCAACTATAACACAAAAATCTCCTTTAGATATGGCAAGAATAGTAAACAGCTATATAAACGATTATATCAAATATCAAACAAACCTTTTCTATCTTTTATCTTTTAATATGACAACTAGCACGACCTCGACATGTTAATTTCTTTTTCCCATGAAAAGGGCAACAGGTCACGAGGTAGCAACAGCTTATCAGGTTTTACTATTACTAAATATACATCCCTGTACTGTAGTCCTAGTCACTTTCTACACATGTAATTTGAAAAAAATAATAAAACATAGCTGTGCTGGTTAAAAAAAAAAAAAAAAAAAATTATAAAAAATTTGGATCTATACAAGCAAGTAAAATATATTACACATAGTTAACAAAAAGAAATTATAAAACACTTGTTAGAGTATTTAATCTATAAAGATTAACTACAAGAGATATGAAATAAATAAGTAAATAAAATTACTAAAAACTTCAAGGAGCTCTTATAAGAAAGAATAAAAAAGTTTAATGAGAAAAGTTTAGGCTAATTTTTAATGACCAAAAAGAAATAAGAAAGTTTGACAAATAAATCTTTAAAGCAGTAAAACTAACTTCTAAAATCAATTAAAATATTTTAAGTTTTTGTACTAATCTTATAAAAAATAATTTTATTTTAAAAATAGTAAACCTAAAATGTCAAGGTAAATGCATAGGAAAAATAGTAAAAAAATAGATGATAAATATGTAAAAAAAAGTCTATAACCAGTTCAAAATAAATTTGAAACAAGAAATATGAGAAAATAATCAAATACTGTAAGAACAAATACAAGAAAATAAGAAAAAAAAAAAAGATAAAAAAACTTTGACTTTTATATATTTTAGATCAGAAAACCATATTCTTAAAGAAAAGAAAATCACTATCAAAAAAGAAAAATCTAGAAAATAAAAGTCTTTGAAAAATTCTAATAAAAAAAATGTGATATAAATTAAAATGGTTGGGTTTTAAGTTTTGTTAAAACATTGCAAAGTAATTTGCAGTAGTAACCTATAAATAATGAAGTTAATAGTTAGAAAGATTTTTATCTGAATTTTTAATAGAGTAATAAATTATTTTTGAAATTGTATTTAGAGTTTTAATAAAATTTTAAAATATAAATAAGAAAGTTGAGTAGAAACTTAAATTTTTTTTTTTGAGTATCCATAGCCAGGCTAGATTGTCAGTTTATTAATCAATTGAAAACAGAAGTACATTTTTATTCAAGCAGTATGATACATACTATAGCTAAACTATTGTTCTAATCTAACTAACTCATTATAAGCACAAAAGCCTCTATATTCAGCCTTAGGAACAATATTTCACTCCATAATATCTATCATTGCCAGTAGGTTGTCACGGCTATATGTCATATCAAGCTGCTGGAATACAGGAAACTACAAAAAGATGGGTTGAAAAAGAGGAGGAGTGATATCTAAAAATGTCTAAGTAAACAACAAGAAAATGAAAAATTAAAAATTAAAAAAAAATATTTCCAGTTTCCTTCAAAGATTTGCTTCTTAAGACCTCTTTTCAATAAGAAATGTCTGATTGAGATATCTTTTTTTTTCCTGACAATCTGAGAAACTTATCCATTCTTAATCTTAATTTTCTTATTGTGTACCATTTGAGGAGACTTATTGCTTAGTGAGAGCCTTTACTTTCAGGACACACTTGATTCCAACTTTCTTTGAACAGGAATTTTTTTATTCACTTGTAGTAGAGAAATGATTTATGATAGACTCTAGGTTTTTATGTAACCTAGTAAGGACTAGGTCATGTTGTTTCAGTATTATAACTTTCAGCAGTCATACTTAATTAAAGAAATTTTACTGGTATATATCTTCTATTAATCAAAAGGCCAGATTTTCTGATAATTCTTTTGCCTTGTAATAGTGGAAGAATCTCAAGAGTGGTGGAATTCTTGTCAATTGTAATATTCTTCAACAACTTCTGAAGAAATATATTCTCAACTGTAATCAAAGAGTTGGAGCTTAATATAAACTAGAGATTGTTTGGTCTTATTGCCTAACTAGAATAAAAAAAAGACTTTGGTCTTGAACTTTGCCTAACTGGGATTATAGGAAAGAAAGACTTTAGCTTGAATGAATAGTGGCTTTTTTGTTACCTAGGGACTTGTTGCTTATATCTTATTGATCTTATGGAACTTAATTTATAGGTTAATTCAATTAGAGAAGTAGGGTGAATACGAGGCATCAATTAGCTCTTTTTATCACGAATAATATTATTAGAACACATGAGATGACCAATAGGAGTTTGTTTACATTCAGGTATTAATATATTTCATGTCAACCAATCAGATACCAGGTGACATTGTGCTACTAAAAATTCAGGATCAAATTGAGGTAGGCAAAATCCTTCAAGAAAATTGTAAAAAACTATAGACACTTTAAGAGAATACAAGACAGTATGTAAGAAGATGGATAATAAGTTTTCCCTTATTAATAAAACCTCTATTTCTTGTTACTTTTAGCTTTGTAAGATGACACTCTACTTGTCAGTCCTTTTACTTCCTAGAACTTTCTTATCCTTAGTAGAGGAAGTGTGTACTTGAGTATTTTTAAGCCATTAGAGGATCAAGTTTTTATTCAAAAATTTTTATTAAAAAGTAGAAGAGTAGAAGAGATACATGAAGACAAGCTTCAAGTTTTTTAATGAAAGTGTAAAGACTTTATTAGCAAAGAAGCATAAAACTTCTTGTAAACATCTTTTTTGTGTGTGATCAAAGGATCAGCGGAAAGAGTTTTGTAGAAAATTAGCTTTAGTAATACACTTTTCAATATAAAAGTATACATATATTTGATAAAGTACATATATCTAGTTTGATAAAAAAAAATAAATAAATAAAATTTTTCTTTCATGCTATTTTTATATTTATAATTATATATAAAGAAAAATATGTTAAATAAGTTTATAAATATTTTTATAATAATTGGTTACAAACTATATTTTTTAACAAAAAATTTTTTTAACTATTTTTTTTTTTTTAAACTAGCAAAGTCCTGCTATTGAGTTTTTATTAATTCATTAACACAGGCTTATATATGCAAATTTAATTGCGAGTCTATATATTTATGAAATAAAAAAACACTATGACTCAATATTTTAAAGTAGAAAACCTATGACTTGCTGCAGTCCATCTTGGTGAGTGCTAGTATGTCAAGACTCCACTAATACTAATATTATAAAGAAAAAGAAATATAGAAAGTAACTATTTTTAAGTGTATATTCCATTGTGATATTTGTTAGTTTTATATATAGTTCTTTAAACCTGTCTTTTAGGTGTTTATCAAGATTTATCTGAACCTACTCTGGTGTGGAGTTCATCTCGAAACTCTTTATAACTCATGTAGTTGGTGAGTCCGGACTTGGTAATATTATACATTGGTTATGCCCCATGGTCTTAATTTATAATTTTTATTAATCGAAATTATTAAGTTATTACAAATGAGTAGTAAATCATATCTATAGAAATAGCTATATATATATTAAACTAATGCTATATATAACCACTACCAGTTCACCACAAATTGAAAATCCATGTTATTTCGTCTTAATTATTCCTAGAACAATTTTTTTTCTTAAGAGTATTCTAGTTATCAGGCCATCGAATTCAGTATCCTAGATCCCAGTTTTTGATCCTTTGGAGTGGTTCACAAATTTCTCCTCCCACCAAGGCCTCCTAATAGTCAAGTCTGTGAAAGGCAGTATAGTCATATGTATAAGGACCAGGACTAGCTTATTTTGAAAGAGTTCTTTCTTGTGCACAAGTTTTTATCTTAAGCCATTTGTGTCCTCATATGAGTTGTGTTCTTGTTTTGGTCCTGAGAGGCATGTTACCAGTTTGAGGATCTACTCTTCTTGCTATCATTTCTGATAATGTGGTTGTATCAGTGATAATCCTATCTGATTCGGATCACAACCTGATCACAATTTAGATATAAACCAGATATTATATTTAGAAACATCAGTTAGTTTATAGTTACGCCAATGGATGGATTCAATTTCTCATATCAGTTTTTGTCTTGGGGTAGAATTGAAACTGGATCTTGTGATTTGATCTATGGAGTGCTAACCACTGCACTATTGACCCATAGGTTAATTCTTTTTAACTATTAAAAATATAATTATTCTATAATACAAGTATTATAGATTTATCTAGTACATTTTTAAAATTAAAAAAAAATTTTTATATAAAATATATTTTTAACATAGCAAAAGTAATATTTTTTATCTTTTTTTTTAACTCAGGTAAATGAAGTCAATTTATTATAGTAAAGCTATAGAAGTACTGTAAATACATTTTACATAGTACTATACTATATTCTTTATACAACTTATATATATTCCCTTACTAGTGACTCTATAACTTAATTAAGTAATAAATTCACATTTGTAATAAGTAGTCCTAAAGCTATTATCAACACCTACATGGCTTGTTATTAGAAGAAGCCCTATTACCTATCTTTTTACATTTGTGCCTTTTCTTGATTTACACCTTTGGATTAAGGTACAGGATATTCTTTTTATATTTTGTCCCACTTGGTATTCTTTTTACAATATCTATTACAGTATGTCTATAGATAAATATGGGTTTCTAAAGGGGGAGGCAAGGATATAAATCAAATGTCCCTCACTAGGAAACATTAAAATTTTTAAATTAATAACTATAAAAAAACTACTTACAATTGTTCTCTATTATTCAAATCATTGATTTATAACATTTCTTGACTTTTGTTCTTACTAAAGTAAAGAGCTATGAATTTTGTCCCTCAAAAAGGGACATAAGTATCTGCAAAATTTTATATACTAAATACTTTAAGGACTTATCATTACCTATGGAGTACCCACGTGAAGTCTTAGATATTATTTAATTTTATCAAAAATCATTTTTGCATAATCTATAGTATTATAGCCAGCCTATGAGAAAATTATATGAAGTCTTGGACAAATCTCAATTGATAGAGACTCTTTTTTAACTAACTTATTTAAGCTTCATTAATACTCCTGAAATTTTCATAGCTAAGCAGATCTTCAACCTATCTGCAAGAGCTTATAGAACCTGTCTTGTGACAAGATGGCTTTAGCATTAAAACTGATTGAAATATCTTGTGATCTTTAAATATCAATGATATGATGGGGTCTTGATCAGAAATGACTAGATCATTATCATAGAATAGATGAGATCTTCTTATATCACCTTAACTTTTTAGATAGTATTGTCTCACAGTGGTATTGAACTCAGAAATAGTACTTGGTGACTTGGGAGCACTATCACTATGCTATGGATTCACAGGTCATATTTTTTATCTTTCAAAAATTATGAACTCTCAATTTTATATAGAAATTTTAAAAAAACAATTTTTTTAAATTAAAACAATAATAAAAAATAATTAATACTTTAATAAAATAATAATCTGAAACATATTAGTTATTTAACTAAAAATTTTCTTAAAAGAAGAGTTTTTGCCATAATCAAGTGATTGTTTAATAGTCTTAATCTTAACTTTGTCTAAAATTTATAAAGAATTATTAAGAAAAATAAGAAAAAAGAAAACCTAAAATTTTAAAAAAATTGAAAATGTTTATAGTCAAGAAATGGAATTGAATTTTATAAGAGATACTAAAAATTTTGTAATTAATATATAAGAAGAAAGAATTGGTTATTAATAATATAATTAAATATATTTTTATGGTTTTATACCTTTTAATAAAATTTACTATTTATGAATTGAGTCACTGATTGTTATATAAATAGTAATCAAAGATTTTTAATTAATTTCAATAATTGACAATCATTTAATAAAATATATATAATTAGTTCAACAATAATAATATTTTTATTATTTTTAATTTTGTTATCTGTTTAATCAAAATTTGTGAAAAAATTGAAATCAATTTTTTATTTTATATAAGTATTTGAAATAATAAAAATAAAATAAAAAATACTTGGATATTATTTATAAGATAAGATATATAAAAAATAAAATTTTTTTGAAAAATACTGATATGATTTTACTTGTATTAATTTGTTTTAATTTTAAAAGTAATAAGTTTATTTTTTTTTTTTTTTTTGATAATATTAATAATTCAATATAATTATAATCCCAAGAAATTCAAAATATTATTTTGATAAAAATTAAATAAATAAATATGATTATAATATAAATATCAAGTTATTTAAGTTAAAATATTAAGCAATAGGTTTTCTTTAAAAAGCATTATTGTAGCTTGCTTATTGAATTTATTTTTAATTTATAAATTCATTTGCAAATTTATCATAACATTATATAATACTCAGTATATAAATTTACAATTTTTTAGTTATTATCAATTTTCGTCATTGTTAAATACTACCCGCATGGTCAGCAAATTACTAGTTTATTACGTTTAAGAAAATCATAACACCGCATATATTAATTGATGAATAGGGTAACGGCCTTATTAAATATCTTATTTTTTAAATTAAGAAAGCTAAGCTTACAATTTTCATTTTACTATATATAATGATAAATGTACAGTATATGCTATATATTAGCTACTTCTCATTTTATTTTTCTGTAACAATATCTTTAATTAAATGATAATTTATGCCGTATGTTAGCCAATACTTTATACCTCAACTAAATTATTTTGATTTTCTTCAAAATGCTTATCAAATAAAGTTGTATCGACGTTTCTTACAGCCGCGTAAGCTACTAGAGAAATAGGTACGTAGTCAGATCGTGTAACCAATACCGAAGCGAAGCATTTCCCTTCTAAAACGTGCAGTCTTTTGAGCAAATTCATGATCGCAATACTCTATGATGTCTTTCGAGGAGGTATAATGACAAAATATCATCTATAGGAAGCATAGACATAATAAGCACATGACCTTCGTGAATTATAGAGGCGACTCTCCGAATTGCACGTCAGACATACTGGACGAGATAAAATTGCGTACTGCAGAACGAGGCTTACAAATGCTGCTCGTATCAGTAACGACAGTTACGTCCATCATAGATTTCCCTATACGTTCATTGCTAAATGCCAATTTTCATTCCTTTGGGGGTATACTCGGCTAAATATTATATTGTGACGTGATCAATAATCAAGGTTTTCTTGATATAGTGTTTGTTTTGCTTTATCTTTGCGGAATTATTCTCATAGATAGACTGATGAGCAACAGAATCTTTAAAAGAATGAATTTATTCATTTCCCTGGTCACATTTTGGACTTTTAACCTGATTGTGCAACGCACAGTGAAAGCTTCCTTTTCCCTTAACTCGTTAAAGATGTCGCGGCGTCACCTCCTCATCTAACAACTGTTGTTCACAAATGTGCGACATATCAGCCTCCATGTTACTAATACTTACTCTGTTCCGAAATCTTTTAGAAGTTTGATAAGTAAACCAAAAGTTTGTTCCTTATTTCTTCTTTAACAATGGTTATTATTACCTTTCTGTCGTCGTCAAACTCTATCATTTCACACTGGCCCTCTTAAATCCATCTTTTAATGTTTCGAAAAGTCTTTCTATTCTACAGTACAATAATATTTGGAGTACATACAGTTTAATATGTAACAGTCGGGACATTAAGAAGAATCCGAGTTCTCACTTTAATAATATCTCATCTTTTAATGGACGTCATTAGTGAGGTAAAATGTTATTAATCAAAGTCTATGACAGTAAATAGTTCTAGTCGCCATCGACTGAAATTAAACGCCTAATTCTACATCTTAAATATTACATTATAATATTATAACATTCTAATTAGAAATTTTAACGAATTCTATGATATTTTTAACTAATCCATTGTCTCATATTCACGTGTTTTTCCTCACACTCTTGATTGACATTCAACTAAAATCTTCCTCAGTAATCTCAAATTTCTTTTTTATCTTTCCAAATAAAATTAGGTGAATCCATTCTACCAAACGTGAAGCTATAACCAGTGTAGAGGTCACCAGCGTAAAGTACGGGATGACACCGTATTCTAGGATATCTATTTTATACAAAATCTGTTGCGCAAAAAAAAAATAAAAAAATAAAATAAATAAATAAAAGAAAATATATATAAACATTGACTATTCCGCAGTCACGACATCATTATCTCTCGTGTTACAAAGTTTAACATACATACCTGCACTATCCACTGTCCCACGTCCTCCAAAAAAAACGACACTACGCCTCCCCAAAAGATACTTCTTGTTGCTAGTTTGGAGTAGCTTGCCCCAAATATCCTCCAACCACCCAACTTCGAATCCAGTAATTCGAGGAATGCTACATCAATCGCCGAGAATGATACTATTATAAATTCAAAAGCATAGTTTTGATAGTATTCGTAGAAGAATGGGTTTTCGTTGATTTCATGCATCAACAAGAGAACAGCGAACGTTGTGTTTAACGCCATTGGAAGCGAAATTAGCAATACGCTAGATGGATAGCGTCAATAATGATAGTGAGCGTTGGTGATGGATTGATGAATTCGAAGTATACCGTACGTAATTACGTACCTCAACCCGTGCAACCATGGAAGATCCATTCCATGGTACACAACAAATAGCACATCAAATACAAAATCCACCAATATCAGTAATAGTTTTAATACTATCCATATTCTTCCCTGTGAAATAAAAATCAAAAGTCAGAATCAAGAACTTAAGAACCGGAGATTACGTTTAATCATGAAGTTTCTAATTACATGAAATAAATCAGGACTTACCCCTTTGTGTTTTCTGGTTAGGACGTACCAAAGCGCCAAAACAGCCAGAATTGATAAGGCAATTCCGAGCGTCGCATATTTATAATTGACCCCTCCGTTTGCTACGAGTAAAAACGAAATATCAGAAAGCAAGAACAAATGACCGTTGTCTTAATGAGCTGGACCAAGAAACCAAACAGGAACTCACATATTAGATCAACTCCAAAATCCTCATCAACTCCTTCCCATTTATCCAAAACTGCCAATGCCGTAATCCACTTATTCCTAATCATCACGTCCAAGTATCTTAGCATACTAGTAGCACTCCTTTCCAAGGTATTCCGAGTTTCCGCTATGGTTATGGGTAAAAGTAATTGATCCGTTGTGACCCTCGTCTCAAATTGAAATTCAGATGAACTTGAAATACGGTCGGGAGAGATTGGAAGCGCCAGTGAAATTTGTGAGAGGAGTTGATTGATGAACGAAGACTTATTAGAATTGGAAAGGTTAGTGTAGAGGGATGTGGCGTTTTTCGAAAGACGGATAAATCCGGTTGTCGTGCCTATTCACATGACAAATGTCAATCAATTTATATAATTCATATTCATCATACTTTCGACTGAATGCCAAATAAGAATATTCTTGCCTGTAAGCACATCGCTGGTGTTCACTGAGATGTTTGATTAAGTTAATTTTTGTTCAAACCATGTGATCACAGAACGCTGGATGCCATTCGAGAACTCACGTGTGCTTAACATCCAGAATCTCGGAGGTACGCCAGCAACAGCCTCACTTGTTGCTCCCGTCACCACAAAATCGTCGTCGATTACCACATAATAATTGCTCGAAGGCTGATCGAACGTACTTTCAAGAACCGTCACCTTCATATAAGTATCATTCTGATCCAGTGTAACGAAATTGGAATTGGCTGAGAAGGTTTGCCGTAATAAATCATTATTTTCATTCTGCTGATATATTGAGATGTTCCCTTTTGAGGGTCTTACTGGCTTGTTGAACGTGATTGTGAGTGATGTCGTTTCCAGTGCAACTTGCGAAAAGTTTGGTGATGAAGTCGTGGCAATGTTGGGACTTATAAACCCGCTGACTGCGTGTAGTATGTCACAAGAAAAAAGTCAGTAAAGGGGAATCTTTGGAAATTAATGAACCAGCACCAAATTTTCACTACCATTAGCATAAACCTTCTGCAGGTCGGTGGTAATAATCGACCATGTCCCACTTTTTCCACTACCCGACACAAAAAATACTGTATTGTTCAAAAACACTCCAAATCCTACCGAATTCACAGTCAGATTTAATGGAATGTCCCACGAGGATTTGAAATTTCCTTGTGAGTCATACACCTGCCCTTCTATCCCGACATTCGTAAATAACCTTTGCAAAAATCCTCCAAAATATAATGGGTCAAATCTTGCATCAGTCACATTGGTGATATTTTGAACATCCGTCAACGGATCAAGATTCAATATGAGCCCCGTTGTGAGAAAGGTAGATGAGATTTGGAATGTACTTGAGTCGCCGGGTTTTTTTCCGGAGATGATACATTGGAGACCTGTTCCCTCGAAAGTCGCTTCACCACAATCGTCAATTTCGAGAAGAGACAATGGGAAGTTAGGTTGGTAAATGGGGAATGGGTTGACAAAGTCACTGTTGATATCGAAGAGAAATGTAACAAATGCAGCAGGGGCCGTGGTACCCAACGAAAGAGCAGAGAATGCGATAGCAAAATTATTGTCAAAAGTGTAGAAAGTGGTGAAATCTAGAAGCCTTAATGTAAAACCGCTAACTATCGGCAGTGAAAATGTCCCCGCCGCATTTATCGATATATCCGGAGGTGTGGTTGCATTTGACGTCGCTGTTATGTCATGCCTACCTTATTTTATTTTATTTTTTTTTATATAAACATAAGATGGGTCAGCTCGCGTACTTTAAATTTTCACATTATGATGGATGTAACGTACGAGGAAGTGAATCGAACCCAATTGATCGAATTCGAATTATTGAATTGAAATGCCCATAGAACATTTCCGTTATGCAAGATGGTCCTCGTAATTATCGATTTCGTACTCGCCAAAAATGGTGAGCTTAGTGGAGCAAATTCACTAACGGAAATATGGGGCAAGAAAGTTCATAATCAGTGTTGAAAAAAAGTCCACTTGAACAATCAATCGTGAATGTGGTGATACCTATTGTACACTTTTCCATCCCACCCAACAACCATCGCTCGAAATTGCACCCAGTAATCACTTGGAGTACTGTTGACCACCTCCAAATAAGTCAAAAGATTAAAATTTTCGGTCAATGGGTGAAATTCCAACCTATCGATCGGGCAAAAATTCACCGAGGAAAAATTGAACTGCACATTATTCGTCACTAAGCTCCCATTCGGTCGTACATATCGCATCATCACCAACGATTCTGGGCATTGACTGTTTGGAAGTTTTTGCGCGAGGCGTATTATGACCGTTCCATCGTTCGTGGATCTCGCTTCAACGGGAAGAAAGTTTTCATCGGTTTCGGTAAAATTAAAAATTTTAAATGCCGAACAAGATGGAAGATAGGATAACGATATTAAAGTGCACGTGAGAAGTAAAAGTATATGCGTGAATATTAATTCATTCATTATCATCCATATGCGTGAAGGTCAAGATCTTTTTAAAAAAAAATAAAAAAAAACCCCCCAATAATTGGAACTTTACTCTATGCGTATAAATCTATATGCAACAAAACAAGCCCAAAAAGATTTGATATAGAACCCAAATTTTCTTTAAATACGTACACACACATGTAAAACTTCATGCGAGCATGTCGTGTCACGCGTGTCAAAAGGATATCTATGCATTTCACATTCCTTTGTAGGCGTTGGGCGGGATCTGCGTGACTCTCAGGGCTAAGGATGCTTGTGCATTATCGCCTCTACGTTTGTGAAAACAATGCATATATGTACGTACCAGATGTGCATCCACGTTTACGTGGACGAAAATTCAGGGACATAAATAGATTTTTGAATCGCGTACCACATCCAAGTTCGTCGTCACAACGTACGGTGCTTGCGTATTACGTAATTCTTAATTACCTGACTGTATGTGCGGGGAACTTGTTTACTGCAAAGGCGTTTACGAGCATTTACGTAATATTTATCTCACGATGTATTATTTTTTAATTTCCAAAAGCATCCTGTGTCAAGTTTCCTCTTCCTCGACCATCACAGCGAAGTACAAGCAATTGACACGACCGGGCTTCGATATCTTACCTAATCAATTTAGCCTAAAAAAAATCCAAAGTTACATTGTGACCTCTCTTATTAATATCGCTTAACCAAATTCAGAATCAATGCAAAATAATACTGTATTTTCAAAAGGTCAAATACGACAAGGTTATTTATTGGTACACGAAAATGAATTAAAGATAGGCAATATTTTAAATATACATTATTTATTTAGTGCGCATATCTGAGTGCGTACGTGCGTAAAGCCATTGAACAGCTCCTACTTAAAAGGTGGGTCGCCTGTTTTTGAGATAGCTTACGTCCCGAATACGTAACATCCGTTGAGTATTTTGGTTGCCTTATTTATACCGATTGAAGTGTATTCGGTTTCAAATATTATTTAGATAAAATCGATTTTTAGAAGAAAAACATTTTACGCAAATACCTTATAATAATTGGTACATCCAAAATGATCGGCATATAGTATAGAAAATGCGGGTTGCGAACTTTAAAGTATTAATTCTCGATTATCCACTAACAAATTTAAGTTTCATTTTATTTATTAAAGTAAATGTTATATATTTATATACATTACATTAATATTATTATTTTTTTTTTTGAGTACCCGTAGCCAGGCTAGATCATCAGTTTATTAATCAAATGAAGACAAAAGTACATTTTCAT